TTTATATGTGAGTATTTCTGGTTTTAGTTTTATTTGCAGAATGGAAGAATACACGGTGCTTGTTACTGTTCTATTCTCCAGAACAAAAATGTTAACACGGACACCCTTCACACTGAGCCATGACTTTTTGCGTGTTTAACAAGATGAAGGAAGCTTCTTGAAACTAGAGCTTCTGTGATGACAGTGATATCCAAGTGGCTGTTTGGGGATGACATGTTGACCAACCACTATCCTGTTACCATGAGAGTGTGGATAGCCTTGTGAGATAGCATGTGGATGTACAAATTGACAACTGTATGCTGAAAAATACACATCTTTTCCCCACCTGTGAAACTTATAGTTTAAGTTAAGAAATTATGTGTTGTGATGTATCATATTTACATATCTATTTTAAAAAAGCTGACTTCCACAGCTGACTTCTGGAATGGTTGTAAATTGTAACATTGAGCAATTCAATACAAAAGCACTGAGAATGTAGCTTCTGTGTAGAAACATAATTAACAGAACAAAGGCAGCAATTTAGCATGGACTAATTGGAATTTATTGTGACAAAAAGCATGCAAGGGTCTCGAAACTTCAGCCTGAATTGATGGCATTCCAGAAATACACCTCTGGCTGTAAGGGAAGATTTCAGGTTCATGTACTACTCCTTATTTCTGCTCTGTGACACACATGTTCATTTTGCTCCTTTTGGGTCACCTACCTGCGGGCTACAGGGCATCAAAAAAACAGTTAAATTAGGAAAATTTATATTTTCATGTACAAAGCAAATATACACATTTATATTTTTGGTGCTTTATCAGTTCATATAGACATATGGTTAGTTAAGTGTTACCATCTCAAACAATGAAGTGACTTCTCCACCAGAAATCATCCAGGTTATTTTTTATGTTGGTTTTGGAGTCTCTTGGTTCATTTTTATGACAAGACAAATATCATAGGTCATATGACCTTTCAAGTTTAAAACTGACATGTCAGTCTGTTTGACGTGGCCTTTTTTAACCGTATTAAATGAAAGCATTTTAACTTCATTGCTTAATACCAAGGCAACATCCTGTAGGGGCAAAGTGGTTAGCATTGCTGTCTTGCAGCACTGGGGCCCTGGGTTCAATTCCTGGAGAGCTATCTGTGTGGAGTTTCTATGTTCTCCCAGTGTTCATATGAGTTTTCTCCTCTTGCTCCCCTTTTAATAATAATAATAATAATTGCTTACACTTATATAGCGCTTTTCTGGACACTCCACTCAAAGCACTTTACAGGTAATGGGGACTCCCCTCCACCACCACCAATGTGCAGCATCCACCTGGATGATGCGACGGCAGCCATAGTGCGCCAGAACGCTCACCACACATCGGCTATCAGTGGAGAGGAGAGCAGAGTAATGTAGCCAATTCATAGAGGGGGATTATTAGGAGGCATGGGAAATTTGGCCAGGACGCCAGGGTTACACCCCTACTCTTTTCGAGAGACGCCCTGGGATTTTTAATGACCACGGAGAGTCTCATCCGAAAGACGACGCCTGTTTACAGTATAGTGTCCCCATCACTATACTGGGGCATTAGGACCCACATGGATGCAGGGTGAGCGCCCCCTGCTGGCCCCACTAACACCTCTTCCAGTAGCAACCCTAGTTTTTCCCAGGAGGTCTCTCATCCAGGTACTGACCAGGCTCACACCTGCTTAGCTTCAGTGGGTTACAAGTTGTGAGTTGCAGGGTGATATGGCTGCTGACCAATCCAAAGATATACTAGTAGGTTAATTGGCATCTGGGAAAACTGATCAGTTTTCAGGACAAGTACGGTAACAGCAGCATTTGTGATAGACTTCTCATGGATCTGAGTATTTGAATGTATGCAGTCATATGAGCATATAAATAGATGAGGAACCTTAAGCAGACCTCACTGTGTGTTCAGATATACTTGTAGCTTCATGATCAACCTATCGTGTATTCTTTTAGCAATAAAATAAGAAAATGGTGATGGACTTGAAAAAAAGTAATTAAAAAATCGCACTTAGTGATTTTGATATGGTGTTATTTTTTAATAAACAACATTGGATTATTCTAGATTATATACAAAGAAGTATTTAAAAAAATTGGTTATTCTAGGGCAACACATTGGCACAGAGGTTAACCTTGCTGCCTCTCGGTCCTGGGGCCCTTGGTTCAGTTCCAGACCTGGGGTGCTTTAGTTTCCATACAGGAAGGTTAATTGGCTTCTGGGAAAGTTGAACCTGGATTGAGTGTGTGCCTGTCTGCCCTGCAATGGACTAGTGTCCCATCCAGGGTGAATCCTGCATTATGGCTGTTGCTTGCTGGGATAGGCTCTGGCTCCCCCGTGACCCTGTATTGGATAAAGCACTTAGAAAATGGATGGAGATGGTTAATCCTGTTATCACTTCCTTCAATTAAGGTTTCAATCAAGGAACCGAGAGATCTGCCCTAAAAAAAGCAAAATACGGACAATACTTCCTGGACTGAAAGAACATAGTGTGGAGACAGATGGGTTTTAATGCAGTTTATACAATATTTCATAAGATTTATACTGATAAAGAGCAGATAACAATCAATTTTCTAATCCCCAAATCAATGAGATATTCAACAATTTGGTTTCAGTTTTTTTCCATATCATCTCATGAATGACTGTTTCAAAGTAAAGATGTTTGATATTCAGGACATTCACTTCAAGCACTTTGAGCAAGGGCTGTTTTCTGATGCCTATGTTGTCTTGCTGTTTCGTTACTATCATTACTTCACTGCTATCTAGCACTGGATATTTAGGCACTATGCTGTATGGTATAAAAATATATCCTATCGAAAAAAAACAAGTCTAAAGGGCAAAGATAAATTAAGTAACACACGCTAACATGCACATTTATACCTAAAGTGTGTCTTGATATAACTGTGTGTTTGATTCATCAGCCATAAAGGTCAAGAAACAAAGCCAACATAACAATGAATAAGAAAGGCTAAACTAATTACAGAACATCCAGCATAAGAATTGTTTGTTTCCTAAGAATTGTTTAGGCTAATTTGACAGCTAACTAGAAAATGTAAAAGAAAACACTTATTATTGATAATTAGTACTTATTGTTACGTACTGTACAGTACCTCAGCATTGACTGGGAACAACCAATGCACATTTTTTTCTCATTTACACACCCATAAACAGTGAAACATTATAGAAAAAGATTGAACACTATAATAGCCCGCATTAGGACAATGTCTACTTAATGTGTTTTTATTTTTGCCGTCATTTCTATCTTCTTGCTTTTAGTTTTTCAGAAATGTTCTTATGAAGTAGAATTTAGTACTGATGTTTTTTCAGCTTTCAGCTAGACGCCATTCTGTGCTTTAAGTAGCTGGTGTTGGAAGAAAATAGCTTTAATTGAATAAAGATGTTTGTCCTAGTTTTACTTTCCCTAGCATTCAGCCCAGTCTCTGCTTAACTCAAATGTCTATCTAATAGAATTATAATTCTTCAGGTAAGCAGACTGTCAGACTGTTTAAAGTGCTCTTTAAAAGATACAGTATTTTTTACACCTGCAACTTTGTCCTTTTTTATGGCGGTTCACACTAGGTGGCAGAACACAATGGATTTCCAGTTTGGATTATTTTCAGAACTTTTATTTATACAGTAATAGTAATTATATGATCGCTAATTTTTAAAATAATGAATAAAGTGGTTTATATTATACTGTATTTTTATGTTTAATATAATTGTATATAGCATTAAATCATTTTGGAATAACAATAACAAATTTTTACAACTTATATTTTCAATTTATCTTTTTCTCTAAACTTCAAATAGAAGTGTTTTTTGGGGGGGCAGAGGGGCTAAAAGTTCTTATCAGAACTTCAAAAACAACAAAGCAGGGATGTCCCCGTCACAACAATGAGTCTGGCATAGTTTTATAATAAGCGGAAAAATCTATTTCCCATGCTATTTTGCAAAAGAGAATGCAGATAAAAGTCACAAATGCTTTGTGATCAAGTGAGTGTTATTGAATATGCCTATGAAGTGTGTTTAAATGCTCTCTCTGACATGGTGAAATGAACTTAATAATATCAAGGAACACTTTTTGTTGTCAAGAGGGTATAATAGGCATTGAAATTTATCTTTTTTATTAAGGATAATGCAAAGTGTGCCACTGTGTCTGGACTATTTCACCTCTGGTCTAATATTATTAACCTCTCTTATAACTCAGCACCGGCACCTGCACTCAGAGTGCCCTGTATCAGAGGACTAGTCTTGAAGTATGCAGGGATTAACACTCATTTGTGTCATGTCTGAGACATACTGTATGTCTGCGTTTGGGATCTGCTCTGCCATTCACGGAGCTGAACCTGTTTAAATAGTGAAATTCCTGTAGTGTGTTTACAGTATTTTAGCGATATTATTAGTCTTTTGAAAAAATGTTAAGAACAAGAGAAAGTCATTTGGCCTACTTTACAGCAGAAGGATTTGATTTAAAAGAACCGCTCACATTCCTTGAAGGAATTTGTATTCCTTTGTATTATCTTATTCGTGACAGAAACTGACCGTCTGTGAAACTGTGTAAGTACTGGTTTGGCTTTATGGTAATCAGTTTCTCAGTTTTTTCAAATATAAATAATACTTTAAACTGGTATGGATTATAATTTAATCCTTTATGGAATTTTAAGATTCAATTTGAAAAGAGCTGAACAACCATGAAATTAACAAAATGTTGATGATGCAAGTATTCCTGCTGGTGGTGGAAGGTTTTAGGAAAGTTATTCACATTTGTGGTGTAATTTATCATATAAAGTTCCCCAATATAGTTTTAAGAGACACTTTTGTATATATGTAAAAAAGTATTGGATATAATTTTCATTTAAGTTTTGTTTTCCATTTGATTAATTAGCTAGACACTATGATGTATACAGTACACAGTTAATTAAAAGCTGCTACAGTAGTTATTTACCTGTTGCTCCATGGCTTTTGTCATTGTCTCTTTTGTGTCTTTCTCTTTACATGGCTTCCAGTTCTTCCTGCATGATTTTGAAAACAGTTTCTTCCCGTCACCACAGAACACGTGACTTACTTGAGTGTTTTACTGGTAAGTTTTTTTTGTTCTTCTGTTTTTTTTATACTTATAAAATTGGAGGTGGAGGGTATGAATCCTGATTGATTTATCAGGCATTGTTTTTTCATCATACTGCTATGTTTTTACTGTACCTTTTTTACAACATGGTTCCTTTTAACCTGTCTCTTAAAACCTTGTCTCTTTTGTAGTTATTTGTGATAATGTTCACCACAAAATAAAATGAAACCTAAAATTGAAGCAAATCTTTGTTTCTGACCTTCTAAAACCTTTATCTCATCTCAAGTGTAAACATCCACCACTGTAGAACTAATTATTAACAATGTGAATTTAATGATTTTGAATTGCTTTGACAAATATTTTTAACATAGGAAGGTTTTATGCTTTTTAAAGAAAAATTACATCTTCTGCGTTGTAGTTTGACTGAGTGGGCGAGATTATGGCACAGAGGCTATAAAGAATGTCCAGAACAATTGAAAACTGTTTATTTTGTCTTTAATGTTTAACTGTTCCAGAAATACAGAGGTGCAGTGGTTAGCACTGCAGCCTTGCAACGCTGAGGCCCTGGGTTGTATGTTCTCTCTGTGTTCGCATGGGTTTTCTGCTGTTGCTTCAATTTCGTCCCAAATTCCAAAAACATGCTTGTACAGTAGGTTAATTGGCTTCTGGTATGAGTGAGTGCATGTCTGTGTGTGTGCCCTCCAATGGACTAGTGTCCCATCCAGATTGTACACCACCTAGGGTCTGTGGGTTGCTAGGATAGGCTCAGGCTCCCTCCTGATCCTGAATTAAAGGAAGCAATTAGAGAATGGATGGATGGATAGTTTGCTTGATCTCTTTATTCACTGTTATTTTGCAGTCATGGATTTCTAAAACTTTCAGCTGGATCAGCAAGTGAAGTGGCTTGCAGTGCATCTCCTTTCCTGCATTATTAGAGCTTGTTTGTGAAGTGTTAGAGCCTAAAGCCCCTGATAATGTCTGTCCACAGTTGACAAAACATGAGCTATTGCTCCCGGAGGCTGCACTAATCTTACATGTGTATAGAGAGCTTTAACTATTAGTACTAATGTATCAGCGGCACCGACTGAAATTGGTCCATGTGGATGTCAGTTAACAGCTATTTATTTTGAATAAAATGTGGACTGTAAACAAAAAAGCGCATTAAAGTTTAAGAAGTAACCGAATATAGGGAGAAAATATCCTGACATGAAAGATATGCACATAAATATAGATACTGATGGCTGTGTTTGTTTTAGTAAACATGCTGGCTAAGAATGTTTGCTATACTTACTTAAGATTGTGTACACAGTGACTGTCTGCACATGAGTGATCAGGTTCTTTATTGAACACCCCATTGCTTCTGTAGTTTGGAATTGTAATCCAGTACTTACAAAATCTAATTCTTTTATCCACAAGTCCTGGGAAAAAATAAACTGTCACAACAGACACTGTTACAAATTGTTTGTGTAGTTGATTAATGCGGCAAACAAGCAATTCTTAGTTAAATGCATGATTATTTTTAAAAGGTGTTTGAATGTATATTTACAGTTAATGAACTAATTATAAATGGAAAATAGCATTACATTTCTCCAGATTTGACACTAAATTAACAACTAAAAATGATAAAGCTCTGTACATAGCTTTAACATAGCTCTTAAATACTTTTCGTTATGTGTAATTCTGATTTAAAATGAACTAGTTTCATACAAGAGGTCTTTTACAAATAAAAGTATAAATTGATTTTTATACTCACATTAAAAAGGACTGTGTGTTTACATTCATAAAGTAACAACCTCTGTATACAGTATCTTTACATTACAACAAAACATGTGATGGACAGCCACAAAGACACCAAAATAGACACCAATAGTAGAAGTGTTTGCAGTATCATCTGCTTGAATTAGATAGGTTGATCTGATCTGATTAGCAGTCGTTGAATGATTGGTGGTGGTGTGCATAGTGTTACAGAGAGTGGGCCTTCCACCTGTGTTGTAGTTTATGGAGCAGCTTCAGTGTTTTCCGGGTTTTTTCTTATAGTTCACAACATAACCTTTTTCTGCTGCAGTTCTGAAACTAGGGATGCCATGGTGTGAGATTTTGGTGGTGTGATTGTAGTTTCAGGAAATAATCACAGTTTCACGATTTTTAAAAAAATATATTCTGAGACCTTACGAGGGAAAAAAGACACAACACATACAGTAGCATAATTAAACATTTTATAGTTTTTTTTTCATAATATTCTTTTGGTCCTGCAAATAAAACATAAACTACTTTACATTAAAAACACACATGTGACTCACTCACTAGACGAATTTTTCAGGGCCACATGGAACGCAAGGCTTCTAAAATAGAATTTTCCCATCGCTTCTAAAATTCTCACGGTTTGGAAACCGTGATGTTTTTAATCGTGATTAAAAGTGAAACCGGTTAATCTCAACATATTTAGTTGAAACATGTTAATAATAGTTAGAAGAAGAGTGAGAAAATGCCTTTCTAACTGAATTAAGGAGAAACCTTATGGAGACAAGATAGTGGCACCTACTGGTCTACCAACAGGACATAGAGTAGTAACCCAGTTTTTCTGGTTTCCCAGTACTCACCAGGCCAATGATACTTGGTGAGATCTGATAAGGTCAGGCTAAAAGTTGGATAACATTGGATAACATGTTGGTCCTAACCTTGAATGCTCCCATTGTAAAAATTTGCAATTAAAATTTACAATTATTGCCCATAATTGGACATGTAGTGTATGTAATAGGAAAATAATGTTGGTGCTACCCACAGCAGCTTATCAGGACAAAATGTATCCTGGTTACCATGCTGGAAGCAATCAGAGAGCATTGATGGGACGTCAGAGTGGTGGACTGGGGCAGCTAGGGTGAAGGTACACAGTACTGTCTGCTGCAGGGACTTGTATTTACAAGCTACCATTTAGCTAGTCCAGAGACCTACTGTTCCTCTACACTATGCTGACCCAGACGTGTTGCGAAATAATTCAATTTTTAAAAAGTAATTCTTCCTTTTTTGAGGTTCTCAGATATCATGTTTAGGTTTGATAAACTGTTTTTGGCTCAAGTGAAATAATCTATCCTAAGAACTCACAATCTTGAGATTCTCCTTCTGTAAACTAATTTTGACAGCAAAAAAAAATACAATCAATGACAATAAAGCATTGTTAGACTGCACCGTGTTGAAAAATACTTGTAGTGTTATGCTTGTTTTGGGGGACACATTTAACCATTGACTGTTCTTTTAGTTCATAAAGAACTTTGCAGTGGTGCCCACCACATAAAAACGGTCTTTAAAATGAAAACAAATTGACATTGTATCGGTCTTTGGCCTAGTAGACATAGTGGAGTCAGGCTGCACTAGACCAGAGCATGTCTTGATCTCAGTTTGATTGCTTTTCCTTCAAAATAAGGAAACACACTTTCTTATGGACATTCACTTAAACAATTAGTGTTTTAAACATTTGAAAAGTAAAAGCTTGTTAAGATGTGTATATTGATAGCCCTGCCCTCCATTCCTCACACAACCTGTTTTTGTTCTGTATTGTTCATTGGTTATTGTAGCGGTGTCAGAGCTTTAACCATTTTTATCTCAACTTATCATACATCCTTAGTCATCTCATTCCCTCAGCCATCAGTTTTTACCAGTGAGTTGTAATTAGTGTTTAATTGGTTTTGTTTATTATTGT